AGTGTTTCTCAATGGGCCTAAGAAGGCAGTGCTGGCCCTCCTACCAGGGTGCTGACATACAACCCTTACTGGACCAATCAAAGATCTTCCCTAGAGCCCTGCTGGGTGTGGCTCAATTGTGGAGCATCCACCTAAGATCCAGGAGATCGCCCTTTGATTCCCTGGGTTTCAGCTGGATCCCCAGTTGGGGGCATGCAGGAGGCAGCTGATCATCATTGATATTTCTATCTCTCTCTCTCTCTCCCCCCCTCTCTCTGAAATCAATAAAGATTTTTTTTTTTTTAATCTTCCCTAGAATTTTTCAAATTAGCGGTAAGGGAAAAGCAGCTCAGCTTCATTAAAGAGGTTGGAAAATGTGAGCTGGAAACTACTGAGAGCCGTGGTTCCAAACCTTCTGGGGAAAGCCCTTTGAAAAACGAAAACTAACTTGAATAAGGCAGAGACAAGTGAAATGGGACAGTGGGTCTTCCAGTCTAACCAGCTGCACTCCTGCTCTTTACATTGTTTGGTATCATGATCCAATAAACTCTTCTTTTGTCCTAGGCCAGTTCAAGTGGGGTTTCCAGCCCCTGGGGAAATTCATATCACCACAAAAAGGCAAGAATACTGCTATACCTAGGAGATGACTAGAACCTGACACTCATTCCATCTCCACCAGGATCTTTTCTCTCCACTATTACCTGTGCAACTCCCTAAGTCACCCTCCTGTCACCTACTGTTCATCAGCATCCCCACAGGCAGGTAGCCCGGTCACTGAAGACTCCCAAGCATTACATCCAAGGCTCCCTCTACCAGTCTTAACTATTCTCCTCATACAAGTTTTTAAAACCCCAGAAAAGTATTGACTGTTTTAGTTTAGGGCAAGTGACCATCCTTAGACCTATCAACTATGGCCATGATATTACAGACATAAGCACTGTAGAAGGACTGCTCTGTCCACTATCCCACAGCAAACTGAGTGTTTCACTCAAAGTCCTTCGTAATTTGTCCCCAACACGCCTTTTAAACTAATCTCTCACCACACACTTACATAAAACCCATACTTCAGACACACTGGATTACTCAGTATTTCAGAAATATACCACATAACTTCATGGTTCCATGCTTTACTCAGTTTGTTCCCTCTGCCTCTAATGAGCTCTATCCTTGTTCTCTCAAAATTCTTGTCCTTAAAGCCCAGCTAAAACTCCACTCCTCATTGCCCTCCTCCTTTCAAAATGAGTCTCTTTACCCTCACCGTTCCCATACCCTGGAAAGTATTTACTTATGAATGTTTTTTCTCTCCCACTAGCGTTTACACTCATCAGTATCAGAGACCCCAAACTATTCATCTTTCTATCCTTCAATGCCTGATACAATACCTTGTACTTAATGAGAACTTAATAAATGTTTGGCAAATGAATGATCCTTTAGAAATGCTGACTACATATCATCACCCACTGGTCACTAAATAATGATGGAACACCTCCTCTATGTGGAAGATTCAAGCAAAGTGTAACATTTTGTGCTGGACCAAGTTTTCTTCAGTACACTAAAAGGGCAAAACATTTTCCTATACTCTCATCGCTATCTTCAGGCAGGAAGGAAAAGATAAAGAAACAAGCAGCTTGGTTTTCACTCTCCAACAAACCCAGCCTTAACTCTGTTTTCCCAACTTACAACACGGCTGTAGACTGCATATCAGCACAGCAGACTCCACGTTCACAGCACGGCAGACATAGAAGTAGAGGCAAGTACTCAACAATTTTACAAATTATTTGGCAAAACCAATGTTCTAAGGTTAATTCTACACACCCTCAAGTCTAGTGTTCCATTCTAGCTGACCACGTTTGAGTCAAGGACTTCCAATCCACTTTGAATTGCTGCCGGAATGAGCTCTGAGGCTCAGCCCGCTAAAGGAATCCAGAGCCTGGTGTTGGATTTCATTCTGGTCCTACAGGAATCTCCTCCTGGAGCTATAGAATACCAATGTAGTTCAGGCTACAGATATCAACAAAAGGTCACTGTTGCTTCTATATAATCTGTTGAACTTGGTGCTCTGCGGGGCACTATACAGAAGACATACAGAGAAACCCAGGAAATGGTTTTCCAAGTCAATGCACTATATTTGATAGATAATACATCTGAAGAAGACTTCTATGACCTGAACTTGGATAGCCCTATAACATAAACAAGTGAATTTTCCTGAGGTATATACAACTGAAAATTTCCTACTTTGCACTATCAGGAGGAAGATAACAAATATTTAAAAGATTAATATAAACAAATATGAAAGATTAATTATGTGCCAGGTGCTTTTTGGCACATCTTATCTCATTTAATCCTCACAACAATCCTGTCCACTTTTTATAGTTAAATAGCTAATAAATGGCAGAGCTAGGATTAAACCTATGTCTAGCTAGCTGATCCCCAAATCCACATCCTTTCCACTAAACCACACTACCTCCTGTCTACTTCACTTTGATAAATATGCTTTTAAAATTCAAGGAACTAAATGTAATGTGGTATACTGGATTGGATCGTAGAACAGGAGGTAGACCTTAGTGGAAGAACTGGTGAATCCAAATAAAGTCTAGAGTTTAGTTAATAGTATTGCACCAACATTAATTTGTTTGGATAAATGTATTATTACAATGTAAGATGCTAACATTAGGGGAAATTAGGAAGAGAATGTATGGGAAAGCTTTGTACTCTTTTTTTAATTGATTTTAGAGAAAGAGGGCAGATGGGGGAGAGAGCGAGAGAAACATCCATTTGCTGGCATATCAGGACGATTCAATGACCAACTGACCTACCCAGCCAGGGCTTCTATACTCCTTTTTTTACCTTTTCTGTAAGTCAAAATTCTTCTAAAGTAAAAGGCATAAATTTAAAAATTCAAGGAAGATATGAATCTCAGATATTGTCCTGAACCTCAAAATCTAACTGGGCATTTCCAAGGGGGTAGAAACACATGGTTTTTTCCATGATTATGAATTTTAAACCTACCAGAGAAGTCGGTGCTAGCTTCATTACGGTTGTACAAACGTAAATTAAGTACAAAATTCAAGGACATTTTGGTCGACCAGCAATAAAATGCAGCCTGTCCAATGAAAAAGAGAACTTCACCAAGTTCATCATGACAGCAGGTGACCTAAACGGCTGCTTTAGAATATGCTGAAGTAGGCAGTTATGGGTAATTGCGAAGCAGAAGCAACACGAAGCCACCCTGAAATAAAGGTAAAGATGATGTCATTAAATTGTTGGATTTTGAGAAAAAGCACCATCAAGTGGACCCAACTGACTCACGGTAATCAGAGAAACGGAGATGGGTTCAACCTTTTTTGAGCTAAGACCTTACACAAAAAACCTGAAAGTAAGAGACATAACTGCAGAGCAGCAGACTCCACCCCCAGGCACTTCACCTCAAACCAGAGGGCAGTCTTCCATCTGTCCATGCTGTGGAAAAGAGCTGCTGATCCTGCACTGATCTCCCCAAGACACCTGCACGCAGAGATGATGTTTTTACCGGGAATGTCATCTCCAAACAACTATTCATACACTTACATTAAAAAAAAAAAAAAAAAAAA